TTTTTTAATTTTTTAATTTTTAATTCTGGTTGCTACTAGTCTGTCCCTAAATTTTCTACTTAAGCTACTATATACACGTCATAAATAGGAATAGGAAAATACTTCATTTAAACTTTCATAAAACATAACCTATATCTTATTCTAGCCTAAGATTAAGAAAATAGATGCGACTACCCTATGCATGTGTCTTGGCTCGTCAACCGTACAGGAATGTCTTGCCTTAACTTGAAATAAAGGCAGCACATGACTTGAGTATTTTAAGAAATACTCGGTAAGTGATCCCATTATTGGAATTAAATGGAAGAACATGCAATATGTTATGACGGGACCTATTAGTTTATTTGTTTCCTACGACACTATTCTAATTGGGCGGCTTAAATGTGTACCATATACTCTACACACAACTCTACAAACAAGTATGGGCTCACCAGTCAGTTCGCACATTGTTGGGCCCCTTTTCTTGTCGGGCGAGCTTTCTCTAGTAGCTTAACTTTTGCCGGACACCTATTAGAATTAGTAACCGTCATGACAGCATTATGTAAAACATAACGATACTTCGCCTGCCTAATGGATGTACATGTCTGTACCCTCGTGATGGAATAGAGGTATCCCCCATGCATGAGCACACATAATACATGAGGTCCCAACATTTTTCCGTTTTCATTATCATTTTATACAACCCCGCTAGCATTATGTATATATCATATCATTTTTCATATTGTTTCAGATATCGTTCATCATTCATATCATATCGTTTCTTATTCTTCAGTTCACATATCATACATAATTCTAACGGGATTATATTCCATGCCATTTATCGTGATTTCATGTCATTTATATCATATTGTATACGCATAATTTAAGAGACATAACATAACGTTCTATGCTTTTAACATAACATTTCATCGAATACATATCATACCATAACATATTGCATCACAATGTATCATATCATGAACATGTCAATTTATCACATATCTGGTACCATAACATATTTCATGTCATAGGACTGATATGAGAACATATATATGTCCGTCATTGACATGTCGTATCATAATCATATCATGTCGTAAACATTTCGTGGTCATATCGTTCCCTAACTTATAGTAGTCTTAACGTTTTTATATCTATCATAGTCATATCGTTACATGAACGTACCTTAGTCATATCATCGCAGAAACGCATCTTAATGCTATTGTTCTATCAATCTATCACAAACTTATCCCTTTTTACCCATAACATAACTGTATTCTCTTATCATTATCTCATATCCATAGCAATTCAATATGTAACCTAACTTTAACGTTTCATGAACGTATCTTACTCCTATCGTTACATATCGTTTTGTGCATCCTTCTCGAATTCTTCTCAAACATATCATTGAACACAATGTACCACAATTATTATCATACAATTCACATATCATAAGTATATCGATTCACAAATAATTCACAAATATCAGTATATATGACACGTGTAGAGCCACAGACACGTGTCAACATCAAATATAACCATGCGATAGTAAGGCTACTTACCTGATTAGCTTAGACTGATGTCCCAACGTTATCCTTAATGAAAGTCCATTGAAATCCAAGTCAATTTATATGAAGTTTGAACTTCTACAAAATTGTTTCTCTAATTTATATTGGTCCGTGTGTTATACTTCACGCAAACGTTAGAGCCTTTGCATGAGTAAAGTCTTGAAATATTTATATATATTTGTTATAGCATTATTTTCATACAAACCATATAACATCCATTAACATTTTCAAGTTAACATCCATTAACATTTTCAAGATATTCTGTCTTCTCTTCGGGTGTTTAATACTCTTAAACATTTTTCATATAATTTCAATTATATTCATAATCTTCTATCTCTATCTCGTGTTTCCCCTCCTTTTAATTATATTCACACAATCTTTCTTATCTTTTGGTTTCCCTCTTAAAAGTTAGTTTTAGCCAATTTTTAATCAATTCTTATTACTACTGACGCAATATCTCTGCCAAACTAAATCTGAACCTTTTTGTTTTTGTTATTAGTGTTCTCTCTCTCTGGTAAATCTTCACCATCTTCTATAAATCTCTCCCCCATGTAAAAGATAATATCTGTTTTCTCAAATCTAACCTTTTTATAAATTTCTCTCTCCCATATAAACCTAATAGGTTTTCTCAAATTTGACATTTTTGCATTTTTGTTACAGGAATGGTGAACTGGGTTGAGAAGAGATTATTGGGAAAGGGACTACGGTGGAGAGAAATTGGGGAATAATTATTTTTATTTATTAATTTATTAAATTTTTTTAAAGATAATAATAATTTTTATTTACTTATTTATTTATTTAGTCTATTACATAGTCTTTCCTAAATAAATAAATACTGGAAACATATTCTTGGTATGAAAATCTTATAAATTTTAAACCTCTCATTTAATCTTATATACAATTTGAAAATATGGGAAATTAAGATAAAGTGTTTTTGCTTTTGAAATGAATGCAAAGAAAGTGTTGATGGGTTGTAGGCCAATGGACTGATTTAAGCATCATCATAATCTCTCTAATTCACTCATATTTAATACTCTAATCTCTAAAACATTAAACTAACTTTAAATGTAGTTTCATTCTTTGATGCTTCATTTCCACTCAATCAAACTTGAGATAGAACGACGTCATTTTAAAATTCTTCTCGATCTCTGTAAAATTAACTCCTTGAATTTCATTAGAAAATTTCTACCCGACTCTTTAAATGGTGTACTAAGATTCTAACACAATATTTACTACTCAAAAGTGTGAATAGATTTGAAAATATTATTACTCAAATAAACAATACAGAGTTAAAAATGAGAAATAGAATTGGGATCGAAGGTTCAATCTTATTTGAAACAATATAGAGTTAAGAATGAGAAATAAAATTGGGGTCGAAAGTTCAATCTTCATTGATATTCACAACGTTTAAATAAAATACAATCTACCCACTAATACTTCAAAATAAATAAAAAATATAAACTAACTAAATCTTGAGAATAACATAAAATATATTACTAATAAAATCATAAAGGAAAAATATTAACGGGATTAAAAATATATTCTATAACTAATATATTCTCAAAATATTAATTGATTATGAATATCTTGAGGATTTCAAAGAAGCACTAATTTGCACTAAATTCGGATTGATTCATATTAAATTGATGGATAACTTTGATATCGAGACCATTTCTGGAAGCATTAGTTCGCTTTTGTTTATATTGACAAGTGATATTAAATTCATGACGATATTAAAAGAGGTTTTAGTTAGATTTATTTATAATAAATTTTTGAGAAATTGCACATATCACTTGCAAACTATAATTTGCTATAATTGAACTCACAAGCCTTTCTTTATAAAAACCCTTAAATTTTTTTATATGAACTTTTAAAACGGTAAGAATTCCAACTTTAAAATTTTAAAATTTGAATAATTTATTCTTTCTCCCATCTATACTCCTCCCATTCTAAAAATTAACTCTAATACTCCCTCCATCTTTTTATTTTGCAGATTACCACTGTAATTAAATTAATGACACTGTGTAATCCCATTTTCGACTGAGACCACTCAAAATTTATCTTATTTACTTAAATATTTGTGTAATTTGTGTATCGAATTTTTAATAAATTCGATAATTCTTCTTCTATTTTGGGAGAGAATTCTTTTTGAAACCAAGAAAAGCAAAAGAAAACTATGGGAGACATTGAATTCTATCTCAAAGAGAGGGCGATAATAACTCAGGTTATCTTTTAAAGATTTTTAAGAAAAATTTTAATTTTTAGACCAAATTATTTGGGTTTCATAGGATGGATACTGTATTAAAAAATATTGTAGTTTCATTAATTAATGTTATAAAGTATATAAGATTTTTTTTCTTCATGCTCAACAAAAATTGGCAGCTACGATACCTTCAAATAATTTATCCATCGTGAATGTCTCCTCCAATAAGAGGAGAGAAACAAGATAAAAATATATGGACACAAAAAAGATAGAGACAGATGGACAAAAATAAAATAAAATAAAATAATATAATATAAAAATTTGAGAAAGACAATAAATTAAAAGATAGAGAAAAAAAGAAAAAAGAAAGGGACAAAATATTTATTTAGACAGAAAAAAAGTTTAGAGAATAGCCTACAAAAAGTTCAGATAAACATATGGTAAAGATAATAGAAATAAATAAATGAAAAAATAATACGAAAATATATATTTTTTTTCAAAATTATTTATTCACATCACAATTTTTAACTTTTCAATGGCTTTTTTTTATTTATTTAAAAAAAAAACATTGTTTAAAGCAATGAAACTTCGTAATTGATAGAGTTGCTATGGCCCATCCTTTTGAACGGACATTTATTATAGACACATTTATTATTTAAGCTACAATTAATTTCTATCATTGAAACTAACAATAAGAATAAATAAATGTTCATTTAGTTCAATAAATAAAATTTCAAATACCCAATTAAATCAAAACATATATAGTTATATATGTATACCAAAACGTTTTTTTAAAAAAAAAATTTTTTACTTTTTTTTTTTATAGACTAAAAGAGTATTATAAAAATTAGAAAATAAAATAGAGAAATTAAAAATAAAGAAATTCCTCATTTTTAAAAAATCAAAATCTGAGAAACAAAATTGTGACCAACAACAATGATAATTAAAAAAAGGAAGATAGAGACAAATTCAGTTTAATTCTTCTGTCCGCATGCAAGCTTAATAAGCATTATAAATGTTTAACGATTCACGATAAAAATGGCATGAACATGATTGTGATTTGTGAAAATCACGGAAAGAAACGATAATTTTACACAGAATTGGAATAAATATGGAGGAAATTCATTTATCGCTGGTGATATGATGAATTCTCATACGTTTTCTCTTTTAAGACTTTCTCATCAGCCAAACAGAAATCAGATCCTCAGGAATACGTCAGGAGAAGAGCAGAAAATCGAACAAGGAAGCACAAAATGAAATATGAATTCGAAGACATTGAAATAGAACAGTAAAATTAACACATCAGTAACTTATAATGGAATTGTAATCGAGCAAAAAGAATATTTAATCCAGAAGTTGGAACTGTCGATGAATCCCTAAAAATGTGTTACCAAAACCAATTACATTAAGAAACCAAGAGGTACCAGAGCCATGGCGGTCTTCAGAGAATCTCTCTCCTCGCAGTATAACCATAGCCAGATCGGCGAATATTGGCTTGGCGTTTCTTGTAAATCAATCCTCCAAATCCAACCAAACCAGCCGCCGCAATCACTCCTACTGCGATTCCAAATTTCTGAGCTCCACTCATCCCGTCCTTCGACTCTCCATCCGATTCGTCTTCTTTACTCACATTGCTCCGGTTAAAGTCGCTAGGTTCAGATGGCGGTGGAGAAGGAGCCAGAGAAGAGGAAGGAGGCAGCGATCGAGTCGGAGATGAACCAGGAGCAAGATCTGATGGTAAAGGCGATGGAGCAGAACTTACCGGTGCATTCCGTGGAGATGCGTCCGGTGGACTGGAAATGGAAGGAGAGCGCGACGAAGGTGAATCCGCGCCTGTCTGCGGCGGCGGAGCGGGGGATTCCGCTATAGAATCCGAAGAAACAGTGAATTGCGCCAAAAGCAGAGCCGAAAGAACTGCACAACAAATCGATGCGAACTTGGCCATTCCTTACCGAATCTGCCACAAAACTGATCGGAGTAAAACAACGGCACTGGAATCCAGAAGAAGGCGGATGAACAACACGATCTCAACAGTTGAAACGAAAAGAAGAGAATGGATCCGGCAGATCTGGTTTCCAAAAACTGGTATCGGGAAGAGAAAAAGGCAAAGGACCTAGATTCACGAGCACGGAAAATGGACGAACGAGTGAGATCGAGAGACGTAGGTGGCGTGAAAGAGCAAGCGGCGGAGAACCGGCGAGAGATACGGAGGAGACACCGGGAGAGGCGGCGTTGGAAATTTGGAATTTCCAGGTAGAGTGATTCGGAAGTTAAAAGATGAAGATGGTTAAGGAAAGGGTGAGTTCGGGGTTTATATAGAGCAATTGGCTTCACAAGTCAACACAAATAATTTACATTTTTCTCTTACTTGAATTTAATTAACTAATTAATTAATTATAAGGAAAATCATAAATTATTTGAAATGTGGGAAGCAGTTTTAATAAAATTATTACGAAGTTAATTAAAGATAATCATATATTTCATTCGCATTAATTTTGTATTACCATAAGTGCCTACACAACTAATAAACCCATATTATTAATACTTTGTATAAATAAGCACATCAAATTTCATACATTAATTTTGTATTACCCTAACTGCCTAGACAAACAACAGGTCTATGTGATTAGCAACTTTTATAAATAAGTTGAAATATCTAAAATAAAATAATTTTAGCCGGCGACCGAAATTATCGGTTGCCAACCGACCCTGAAGGATTTATATGGATTTTGTTCATAGACCAGTTCTAGTTTAACTTGATCGCTTTGGTTTGATTTCGACCATACTGATTTTTTTTTGACACCCGATTAAACTTAGAAATATGATTGTTATGTTTCAAGGTAAGTATGAATGAAGTATGAATGATTGATCATGGCCCAATAAAAATGCCAAATATAAAAATTTTCAAATTTATTATATTAAGTAGATGTGCTCGTGCAAGTGGGTTACTTAACGGAAATAAACCACAATTAGACATATTTGAACGTGGTACTTATAATTTAATCATAGAACCTAAAAATTTGAAGATGTGGAAAGCTCAATTTCAACCTATTTTAGGTATTGATTTAGTTTTTGCACCAATTTTTTTTTTTAATTACATTTATTGATTTAAAAGACTATGGTTATAAATTCAATCTAATTAGTAGACTCGGGTTCCAATATGACCTAATCCAACTCACGAACATCCCTACGTCGAAGGGTCATTTGCTTTATGCCTCCCATTTTTCTCTAGTACCCTTGGGACCAATCAACTTGCAAGTATGCCCCTACCCATTCAAATGTCTATGAAATCAGCCAAAGCCACAGCCTACAAGAAAGAAGCCTTGAAAGAAATGGACCAATATGTGTTATAAGAACCAACAGTTTCCTTCTGTTAAAGCAGGGCTACTACCTAAGAACATACACAAATATCTCAAAAATTTTGCCAATGCCTGAGCCTGACTCCCTCCCTCCCCACCCTGCGGAAGCCGAAACCATAACAGTTATGAAACTACGTCGAGCCACTTCGGCTTTGTGCTCGCAATATGAAAAGGTTGAGATGCTACAATGTTGTCTAATACCAAGTTCATATCTTTGTTTCATAGCAGCCTGCTGAGAGACTTGATCAGCACTTTTAAATTCCGTTTTGTAGCCTCATCGCCAGTGAACCCAAGAAGTTCTGAGCTCAAACTCTGCAATAGTGAGGAACAAGGAGTTAGAACGGTAAAGAAAGTAATTATGAGAAGTAACTGCTTGGGGCAAACCGGAAAGAACTCGACCAGTTAGGATCTTACCTCTATGTTCTTCAGAGTAAGAATTAGCGTATAAATGGATTTCTGAAGCAGTGCTGTGTTTTCGGGAGTCATAATGGACGCATGCACGCTTCTGTAAACGATCGAAAAAGTCTCAATAAGCATACATCATGTAAAAGGAATTCAAAGATTGATTCTTCTTTTTCTTTTTCAAAATCATCATGTATGTTTTGGGTTTGAGCTGATTTTTGTGCAAGGAAAAGGCCAAAATCTGTTGTACAAATGTTATTTAGGCTGTTCTCTTGAAGAAATGCATAAAAGAATCAAGAAAAGAGCGACTAATTTCTGGTGAAAGTTGTCAAAGGATTGAAAATTATAGACCCTTTTCATTTCCTCAACGGGGAAGCTTCATTATAAAGTTTGTGGCAATTCAGAAATCAGAGCTTATCTACATTAAAATTCCAATTTCAGACTTCAGGAATAGTTTACCTTAAATCTTCTGTGGCATGTGACAAACTTTTAGTTAAATTTTCAACCTCCTTTAGAAGACCACTGTCACGAAGCTCAGCGAGCAAAGGTTGAACATCTTCAGCCATGGCTTGAATCTGAGACATCACTACATCAAAACAAACATTTTTCATAGGAAGATAGTTAGATACGTGGAACTATATATCTCACTCATCAAAATAGACAATCAAACAAGAACCTAATACATTTTAACACAAATAATTACAACTTTCAAGGATTAAAGCTATAAATTCCTGATTCCGTTCGAAGGCTCATACCGGAATACCCAAGAAAACTCCCAGTTTCTAGCCGCAATGCAACTCCTATGTTTGAGCTATCAATGTTCCAATCATATTTGCTCTTTAAAAGTTTTTTTTAGCAAAAGTCCAGATCCTACCTACTAGGTAAATCTAGAAGCCTTAATAAGTAACCAGATTCCATGGAAGTGCTGGCATACGAATACATAGTATTTATTGTTTTTTTACAAGCCTTCCATCTTCTTCATGAAATCAGTGAACATCCCATCAGAGTTGCCAACAAAATATTTTCTTATAATATTTACAAGATATGAACATTCATAATTTGAATGACTGCCTAGGAACCAAGCTAGAAAATAAAGTTTAGAGCATGAAATTGTAAGGAGTCGGACCTTTAAAAGCAAAGGCTTTGCTTCTTCAATAACCAAAGCAACTCGTTGAGCTAATGCAAATGTATTGGAAAGCCCTATTTCCTCCGCTTCGCGCCCAAGCCGAGTGAATATTCCAACTAATTCATCCAAACTTACCCCTTGATGCCCCTTCATTTTCTGCTTATCGCATAATATTAAACCTTCTTTGATACATTCAGAGTCAAGTGGTCCCGCTGAAGGCACTGGAATAGGATTGCGAGGAGTAATGTCAATCACTGTCTCCATAAGAAGACCAGACTGGTTTACTTCAACCAATGAATTACGTGGTACAATTATCTTATCATCTTCAAGCTGCAAAATGGGTGGTATATTTCATTTTGTGATAGAAAAAAAAATGGTAAGAAAACGAATTCATGCCAATGGAAAATAACTATGATGAACTCTATAGGAAGATAATATGAACTAAATGGCATATGGTACAAACTCTTTGTTAAAAGCTTTGATTAAGGAAACTAAAACGTCTCTCTTTTTTATTTTCTTTCCTTTTACGCATCTTAGTCAATGTCTTCTCCTTTTCTTTTTCTTTTTCTTTTTTTAATCTTTGTAAGTCAAAGAGTAAGCCTATTTGTTAACTAGCCTATTGTAACAACCCAAGCCCACCGCTAGCAGATATTGTCCCCTTTTGGGTTTTTCCTTTCGAGTTTTCTCTCAAGGTTTTTAAAACATGTCTGCCAGGGAGAGGTTTCCATACCCTCATATGGAATACTTCATTCCTCTCTCCAACCGATGTGGGATCTCACAATCCATCCCTCTTGGGGACCCGACGTCCTCGCTAGCACACCGCCCGATGTCTGGCTCTGATACCATTTGTAACAGCCCAAGCCCAATGCTAGCCGCCAGCAGATATTATCCTCATTGAGCTTACTCTTTCGGGCTTCCCCTCAAGGTTTTTAAAACGTGTTTGCTAGGAAGAGGTTTCCATACCCTTATAAGGAATACTTCGTTCCTCTCTCCAACCGATGTGAGATCCCACACCTATATAGTTTAACTTTTGGTTCTCAAACTAACGATAAACTTACATGAGTTTGAGATGATTTTGAAGAATAAAAAGTAATTTCAGACACAAAAAGTATTTTTAGTCTTTGGTTAGATAATCAAGGATAGAATGATAAAAAGGATATGAATTTGCATACCTCAACAACAGTTTCAATACATCTCAAGGAAGGGTTAATACGAATGACATTGCCAACAGTAACCCCTCTAATTCTTACAGGAGTTCCAGTAGAAATACCACAGGCCTGAGCAAACTCAAAGACAGCCAAGTATTTTCTAAATTTAGACCGCAGTTGAAAGCCTCTCAACCAAGCCAAACTGAGTGTGAGAAGTATAGCACCTGACACTAGAAACAACCCAACCCCACCTTCCCATATGCTCCTTTGACCGAACCCAAAATTACTCAATGGACGCAATGTTTGCCTCCATACAGTACGAGGAACATCAAGAAAAATGGCAAGTGGATTCCTTCTTTCTGAAGATGAGGGAGGCACACTATGTCCTGCATCAGTAGCAGATGAGGACTTTATCTTTTTTACTTTTGCTTTTAGACCCAATGGGAGATGATAAGACAACCTATTTGAAGATCTATGTGGAAGGGTAACCAAGGACGAGGGTAAGGCCACAGAAAATTTTGCAACCTGCGCATGAGTATCCACCACCATTTTTGCACAACAGCAACAGTGAAACAAAATTTAGAAAACAGCCTGTGGAAGTAACAAATTTTGAAGTTATCAGCAGATAATACAACAACTTCAAGAAATACCTATTCGTTTTCATCATCAAAATGACTGGAAATAGATACAAGTTCATGTTCAGTTCAATGATCAAGAATGACACCCGTAAACTTTTCGCCAATTCAAAACTACATAAAGTTTTCCTTACCAAAGTCATCTCCCAAAATGATATTCACCTCTTAGTTTTAGAATTTCCTTCAAGTACGATTGTTGTTCAAAATAAAACATAGATATTTAGAAGAATTTAGTGTTCCTCTTGTTTTTGTGAAAGAAATAGGACATTCAATTCACTCTCCCGCAGCATCTAACAATCATATTACTTAGTTTCCAAATTCCAAAGATGATAAAAAATAGTAATACGCTTTCTCTACTTATTATGATCACTGTACGCAAGAGAAGACAGAAATCCATAAGAAACATCAATGGCATCCTCAATCAAATCATCAAATCCAGATGTAAAAAGACGAAATGAGGATTCGTACAAACAACGAAATCCAGAAAATTACAGCAAATCCAAAGTGAAATCAAGTTCAAAATACATACCTATAACTCGAGATTGTAGCTATTCGATTGATGATATTGGGTCAACAATTTCAACCAGTAATGGAAACGCAAAAAAAGGTGAAAATGGCGTAGAAAAGAACTGTTTGAACGCCACCATTACCGAAGATTGGGAAGGAAAGTCCGCAGATGCTTCGACGCTCGAAAATTTCGACCCATTGGAATGTACAATAGTGAATTGGGCCCATGTTGGGCCTTTTTCCTTGCATTTGGTAAATTACCATAATCGCCCTTTCCTCTAATTTTTTTTTTTCCTTTAAAATATAATTGGACTACCTCTGAGTTTATGTTTGAATTTTGCATTTCGTTATATCATCCAATTTTTATTAATTATAAATGGAATATTCACGGGTATTTGTTAAATGACAGAATATATATATATATATATATATATATATTAATTATACATATAAAATTAAAAAAGGAAATAAATAATTTTTTAAATTAAAAATAAAACATAATAATATATTTTTATTATTTTACAAATGTCACGTTAATATTTTGTTAATAATTGTATGAAAATGGTTATAAAAGTCATTAATTATTATTATTTTTATTGGAAGCTTTTTATGTCAAAATTTTTTTTTTTAAATTCAAATGGTTGATGAAAAGAATGAGATTTATTTATTTATTATTATTATTATTATTTTTTATTTTACCGTTAGATAGCTCAAATGTTAAAATATGAATAAATTTTTATTCATCAAAATATTCAAATTTCTAATAAATAAATAATTTTTTAAAAAATAAAGGAATAAAACTTCACAAAATCTCATTGATTGGATTAAATTGTGAATGCTATTTTCGAGTTCCTATTAAAAAAGTTTCGAAATTAAATTATTTACTTTATCAAAATTTTCATTAGGACAGGGGAAGAACTTAGGTGGTTATCAAATTCATTATTAAATACAAACTCATACATAATAAGATTCAAATTTTAAAGGTAAGAATTAAGCCTATTTATTTGATCAAATTAAAACATAGAATAGGAAGGACTCAAATAATTAATTAAATTTCATGTTGTGTGACAAAAAAAAACATAATTGAAAAAAAAAAAATTAGGAATGGAATCAGAATTAGAAACCAAATGGAAAAAACAAACACCCCAAGACAAAACCTTTTAAACTAAAAAGTAAGCACAAACAAATAGCTATCTATTTTATTAGTTTCTCAAAAAGTAAACACATGACATACACTCAAACTTGAAAAATAACCTCTTTTTTTTTTTTTTTTTTTTTTTTTTTTTTTTTTTTTTTTTTTTTTTTTTTTTTTT